TTGTAAAAGATGCATTTAATGCCTAGTACACAAGATGAGAATATTGGACTAAAAAAAAAATAATTTTTTAAGCAATTGTACGACAATCTGACCGTTAGTACACAGCTTTCGAGAGCAGATCACAATATTTCATGCAAAATTATCTGAAGGGACAAGCACAAGCATTTTTCTCGTAAGATAACAGAACAACGTTTTTCATTATAATATAATATAATTTCATCTGCAAAAAATCGAGTGACCATGTCCATGCTCAGAAATAAGAGAATACATTACAATACAATGCTATATATTACATCACCACAGAAAGTTGTATTCTGTTTTAACCACTAGCCGCCCAGCCACTGTATAAAAATGGTGGCAGGGTGGCACGGCTGGGCAAAAGCACGTTTTAAAACGGGTAGGGGGCACGCGCGAAGCGCTCCGCCGCCCTACCTTTACCGCTGATCTCACCCGCGGTGGTGTCAGTCGCCGGATCACAGCCGGTTATTATCAGCTGTGTCCTGGCGATTAGCGGCAATCAGTGACAGAGAGCAGGGCTGCAGTAGCTCTGCTTTCTGTCAGTTCCCTGACAGTTCCTGACAAGCTGACCAGGAGAAAAGAGTTTCTCTGTCCCGATCAGCAGCATGTCTCCCTGCAGTACACACCCCCGCCCCCTAGTAAAACACTCCCCTCACACAGTTAACCCTTTCAGTGCAAAAAAAAGTTAATCCCTTCCTCCCCAGTGCCATTAGTACAGTGGCAGTGTTTTTTTTTTTGCATTGATCACTGTATTGGTGTCACTGGGGATGTCAGTGACCCCAAGTCAGTTCCCCCCCAGTGTCAGAATGTCCGCCGCAGTCCCGCAGTCCTGCCATAAGTCGCTGATTGCCGCCATAAGTCACTGATCGCCGCCATAAGTCGCTGATCGCCGCCATTATTAGTATAAAAAAAAATAAAAATCCCAGTATCTTTCCCACCATTTGTAAAACACTATAACTTTCACGTAAACCAATTAATTTACACGTATTGGGTTTTGTTTTAGCAAAGACATGTCACAGAATGCATTTATGACGAAATTTGATTTTTAAATTTTTTTTTACTGGACATGTTTTATAGCAAAAAGTACAAAATATTGTTTTTTTTTTTCAAAATTTTCAAAATTGTCAGACTTTTTTTTTATAACGCAAAAATAAAAAACGCACAGGCAATCACATACCACCAAAAGAAAGCTCTATTTGTGTGAAAAAAGGGCATAAATTTAATTTATGTATCGTATTGCATGACCGCACAATTGTCCGTTAAACTAGCGCAGCACTGTATAGCAAAAAAATGGCGTAAATTGCAGTATCTATACCATAGTTTGTAGACGCTATAACGTTCACAAAAACCAATCAATATACAGTTATTGGGATTATTGTTACCAAAAACATGTAGCAGAATACATTTTGGCCTAAATTTATAACTAATTTTGAGTTTATTATATATTTTTTATAGCTGAAAGTAAAAAATATTGTTTTTCTTCAAAATTTTTGGTCTTTTTTTATTGCGTGAAAAATAAAAAGCGCACAGGTGATCAAATACCACCAAAAGAAAGCTCTATTTGTGTGAAAAAAAGGACGTAACTTTTGTTTGGGTGCAGCGTTGCATGACCCGCAATTATCAGTTGAATTAGTGCAGCGCCGAGTAGCAAAAATAGGCCTGGTCATTAAGGGGGGTAAATCCTCAGGAGGGCAAGTGGTTAAGAGAATATTCATAACTTTAGTAACCTATTAATTTTCAATATGGGATTAGCATGCAAAAAAAGGACAATTATTCATCCGAGATTCTCATTTTGTGTACTAGTGTAGCGCTATTTTTATACTCTTTGTGGCTACTGGGGTATGATGATCACCTGTATAATATTTAGGAGCAGAGTCCTTATAATCTGTGTGATCAGGACAAGATATCTAACAAGCACTAGTGCCTCCACTCAATTGGGGCTTGTGGATAACATATGAAATCCCAACTGAGAAATGTATCATCCACATAGACTGTAATCCACACAGCATTCTATATAAAAGTCCATGTATTGAAGAAATAACATTCAGCGAACCATCCAACATAAAGTATCTTTCAAACAGGAACATTAAAGCATTAACAGTCTTTTTTTGATGTCTCAGTGAGGGGAGGCTCCAACACTTACCATCTGAGCTCTCTCTCCTAGGAAATCCACACCCCTCTCTTTTCCAAGTGCTCTCTCTGATGACCTCATCCTGAGTGCCCAGAGAGCATAGTAGCCATATTAGAAAATGGCAAAACAAACAATGCATAGCAGAAGTATATACTGGAAAATGGGCAAAGAAATGATCACATCACTACATTCTCCCCCTGCTGAAAATCCTTCAGACCCGACAAGGATATACACATAAAACAACAACAAAACATAGCAAGTTAAGATTGTTTTCGCCTTCTGCAGACCACTTCTTCTGAAGCAATCTATTACATACATGGTTAGTAAGAAATAGGCATCGTGCTAACCAGTCTAGAATGGGCTGTAATCATGTCCAGCAGAACATGAGGTTGTACAGCATAGTTCTGTACAGCATAGCAGGGTCTTCCCAAGGTGTCCTTGTGGTGTAAATATTGGTGGGGGTCTCCTCTCCTCAAGCCCTCAGGCATTAGTCTAGATAAATCTGGAACTGCACTAGTGGGAAAACTTGATGCTCCAATCATGCCTGGAACTGTAGGCACAAAGTTTTGGGCTGTTGGTTCAGACCTCCTCTCTGAAGAAGGCTCCCATTAGTAATAGGTGAAGGAGCCTGTACAGGAGACTCTGGTGGAGGTGTAAACCAGTCATTGTCATCACACTGTTCTCCACTGTCTGCACAAGGCACATCATTAGAATCTGTAGCAATATCAGGTTGTGGCTCCTCATCTGCAGTAGCAACTTGTGGTACTGGAAGCAAGTGATTCCTATGCCAGACTTTGATTCGACCCTCGGGTCCTCGAATTTGATAGAATGGAATTCTAGGCAGTGTTTCTATAACTGCAAACAACTAATTTCTCCAGCGATCAGCTAAGTTATGTTTGGCTGAGGGTCCCAAATTGCGAATAAGCACTTTATCACCAGCACTTTTTACATCATTTTCCTCAGCCATTCAATAGGCCTCTTGTAAACCATGTTTGAGTCGTGTCACATACTGGTAGTGATTTCTATGTTCCACTCCATCAGTAGATACATGCAACTGAATGTCAATAGGAAGATGGGCTTCTCTCCCAAACATGAGAAAATAAGGAGAGAAACCAGTTGACTCATGTCTGGTACAATTATAGACATGTACCATAGCTCCAACATGTCTGCTCCTGTCAGGAATGGACTGGCCAGCAATAGTGGGACTCACCTGCCTTATGAGCTGCAGTACCAGGGCTGGCCAGCGGGTGCTTCCAGCAATCAGAGACTCAACCTTGCAGCCAGTCAAACACCTGGAACTAATTATACTGGTGTATTTAAGGGACATTCAGACCTGCAGACTCTGCCTTGGTGTTGTGTTTCTCCTGGGCCCTGTTTCCTGTTCCTGTTCCTGTCTGATTCTCTGCTGACCCTGCTCTGATCCCTGGCTTGTCTGACCATTCTCCTGCTTCTGATCCCTGGCTTGTCTGACCATTCTCCTCTGCCTGACCCTCTGTACCACGCTGCCCGCTACCTGCTGAACCTTGCTTGTGACCCCGACCATTCTCCGCTTGCTCCCCCTGTACCTACCTGCCCGATTGATATTGACCCGGCCTGCCTGACGACGCTTGCATTATATGTACTGTTATCTGTGGGTGGTTTGGTTTGGTTTGTTTGCACTGTGTTATGTTTTAGTATTGCACTGCGTTTATGTTTGTAGTGTTAATAAATTACATTGTTTATAACATATCTGAAGTCTGCGTTTCCCTGCGTCAGTCACACACCTCTGGTCACACCCGGGAGCCCTGACATTACACCAAGGCCAATCCTGACCAGAAGTGGCTGCACAGGGAAGCCATCTTGGTTTGTTGATGGGAAGGATGGATCTGGATGAGGTTGCGTATTTATATCTGCTAGTGTTTGATGACAGGGAGTATGCTTATCAAACTCTGAAGGAGTATACCCGGGATGAACTGCTAGAATGTATACGGCTCGCTCATGTTCTAGTAGATCAGGGCACAGAATTCTCTGAGGTGCAGCCATTGATTGAGGTTTGTGCTGAGTTGGTTTCATCTGGTACCCCCGAATGCAGGGATGAATTTTTGCCACCATTTAGTGCAGACCAGGTAGAGTCCCTGGTGTGGTTATTAGAGGATGATGTGGGTTACTTTCTGGAGCGTTATTCCACATGTTCACCACAGGTACTAAGAGATTGTATAAACGCAGTGCAGTCTTTGGTCAGACAGGCTTTGTGTAAGCTCAGCTTTGTTCAACCCATACTGCAGACATGGACAGATTTGTTGCACCCAGCCTCAGTCAGCTTACAAAAACCCAGTCCTGCTTCTAATCTATTTCCTCAAAAGCTCTATTCCTGCATTCCCAACAGCTCCTCCTGCCCTGCTATCTACCGCATGTCAGTACCCTGTTCCCACTCGCTGCACCTATCCTGCCTTTAACCCTGTAAAAAAGCCCTCTGTAGCAACTGCTCCCTCTCCTGTTCCATCCTCCAGTTCTTCTCTGTCTCCAGCTGCTCCATTCGTTTGCAGACCTGCGTTTACTTGCAGTGCTCCAGTAGTTAAAACCAGAAAAAAGCGAAAATTCTTTCCAACCAATACCATCCTGCCAGTATCCAAACCGGTGAACCTGCCTTGAATCCTCTACTCAGCCTGATGCCTGTACGCAGCCTGATGCCTGTACGCAGCCTGAATCCTCTACTACTGATGCAGCCTGATGCCTCTATTCAGCCTGATGCCTCTATTCGGCCTGATGCCTCTACTCGGCCTGATGCCTCTACTCGGCCTGATGCCTCTACTCGGCCTGATGCCTCTACTCGGCCTGATGAAGCCTCTACTCGGCCTGAAGCCTCTACTCAGCCTGGCCTGATGCCTCTACTCGGCCTGAAGCCTCTACTCGGCCTGAAGCCTCTACTCTGAACTACTCAGCCGGACGCCTGCCATTCAGCCTGATGCCCTCTACCCAGCATGATGAACTGATCCAGCCTGACGATCCTATTAGGCCAGTTGACTCGATGCCGCTGTTGATCCAGATGATCCGGTACCTGATCCGGTGCCCGCTGTCGTGCCAATTGACTCAGAGCCCGCTGTCGTACCTGGTGACTCGGTGCCCACTGCCTTGCCAGATGACGCGGTGCCCGCTGGCGAGCCAAATGACCTGATGCCTGGTGACCCAGTGCCCGCTGTCATACCTGGTGACCCGATGCCCGCTGTCGAGCCAGACAATCCGGTACCTGATGACCCGGTGCCCGCTGTCATGCCAATTGAGTCAGAGCCCACTGTCGTGCCTGGTGATTCGGTGCCCGCAGTCTTGCCAGACGACTCGGTGCCCTCAGTCTTGCCAGACGAGTCGGTGCCCTCAGTCTTGCCAGACGACTCGGTGCCCGCAGTCTTGCCAGACGACTCGGTGCCCGCTGTTCCGCCAGTTGACTCGGTGCCCGCTGTTCCGCCAGACGACTCGGTGCCCGCAGTCTTGCCAGACGACTCGGTGCCCGCTGTTGCCCGCCAGTTGACTCGGTGCCCGCTGTCCCGCCAGTTGACTCGGTGCCCGCAGTCTTGCCAGACGACTCGGTGCCCGCAGTCTTGCCAGACGACTCGGTGCCCGCTGTTCCGCCAGTTGGCTCGGTGCCCACAGTCTTGCCAGTTGACTCGGTGCCCGCAGTCTTGCCAGTTGACTCGGAGCCCCACTGTCGTGCCTGGTGACTCGGTGCCCGCCGTCTTGCCTGGGGGCCCGACCTGTCGCTCCGCCTGGGGGTCCAGGCGGAGCCCACAGGGGGTGCCAGCGACCCGCCGCCCGCCTGGGGGACCGGCACCCGCCGCTCCACCTGGGGGCCTGAGACCTGTCGCTCCGCCTGGGGGCCTGAGACCTGTCACTCCGCCTGGGGTCCTGAGACCTGTAGCTCCGCCTGGGGGCCTGAGACCTGTCGCTCCGCCTGGGGGCCTGAGACCTGTCGCTCCGCCTGGGGGCCTGAGACCTGTCGCTCCGCCTGGGGGTCCGGCGCCCGCCCGCCGCTCCGCCTGGGGCCCGAGACCTGTCGCTCCGCCTGGGGGTTCGGCGCCCGCCGCTCCGCCTGGGTGCCCAAGACCTGTCGCTCTGCCTGGGGGCCCGGCGCCCGCCGCTCCGCCTGGGGGCCTGATGCTTGTCGCCCCTCCTGGGGCCCGATGCCTGTCGCCCCGCCTGGGGGCCAGATGCCTGTCGCCCCGCCTGGGGGCCCGATGCCTGTCGCCCCGCCTGGGGGCCCAATGCCTGTCGCCCCGCCTGGGGGCCCGATGCCTGTCGCCCCGCCTGGGGGCCCGGCGCCCGCCGCTCCGCCTGGGGGCCCGATGCCTGTCGCCCCGACGGGGGGCCCGATGCCTGTCGCCCCGCCGGGGGGCCCGATGCCTGTCGCCCCCGCCTGGGGGCCCGATGCCTGTCGCCCCTCCTGGGGGCCAGATGCCTGTCGCCCCGCCTGGGGGCCCGATGCCTGTCGCCCCGCCTGGGGGCCCGATGCCTGTCGCCCCTCCTGGGGGCCCGGCGCCCGCCGCCCACTCCGCTTGGGGGCCCGATGCCTGTCGCCCCGCCTGGGGGCCCGATGCCTGTCGCCCCGCCTGGGGGCCCGGCGCCCGCCGCTCCGCTTGGGGGCCCGATGCCTGTCGCCCCGCCTGGGGGCCCGATGCCTGTCGCCCCGCCTGGGGGCCCGATGCCTGTCGCCCCGCCTGGGGGCCCGGTGCCTGCTGCTCTCGCCTGGGGCCCGATGTGCCTCTGCCCGGAGTCCAGCCCGATGTGCCTCTGCCCGGAGTCCAGCCCGATGTGCCTCTGCCCGGAGTCCAGCCCGATGTGCCTCTGCCCGGAGTCCAGCCCGATGTGCCTCTGCCCGGATCCAGCCCGATGTGCCTCTGCCCGGAGTCCAGCCCGATGTGCCTCTGCCCGGAGTCCAGCCCGATGTGCCTCTGCCCGGAGTCCAGCCCGATGTGCCTCTGCCCGGAGTCCAGCCCGATGTGCCTCTGCCCGGAGTGCCTCTGCCCGGTGTGCCGCTGCCCGATGTGCCTCTGCCCGGAGTCCAGCCCGATGTGCCTCTGCCCGGAGTCCAGCCCGATGTGCCTCTGCCCGGAGTCCAGCCCGATGTGCCTCTGCCCGGAGTCCAGCCCGATGTGCCTGCCCGATGTCTGCCCGATGTGCCTCTGCCCGGTGTGCCTCTGCCCGGTGTGCCTCTGCCCAGTGTGCCCTTGCCCGTGTGTTCCGCTGCCCGGAGTCCTGCCCGGTGTGCCAGTCTTTGATATCCCACCAGTTACCAGACCCGGGCGGTGGAACATTTTGCCCAGCTAGGACTGTTTGGAGCGTCCTGAGGCCGCTCCTTGAGGGGGGGGGGTACTGTCAGGAATGGACTGGCCAGCAATAGTGGGACTCAGCTGCCTTATGAGCTGCAGTACCAGGGCTGGCCAGCGGGTGCTCCCAGCAATCAGAGACTCAACCTTGCAGCCAGTCAAACACCTGGAACTAATTATACTGGTGTATTTAAGGGACATTCAGACCTGCAGACTCTGCCTTGGTGTTGTGTTTCTCCTGGGCCCTGTTTCCTGTTCCTGTTCCTGTCTGATTCTCTGCTGACCCTGCTCTGATCCCTGGCTTGTCTGACCATTCTCCTGCTCCTGATCCCTGGCTTGTCTGACCATTCTCCTCTGCCTGACCCTCTGTACCACGCTGCCCGCTACCTGCTGAACCTTGCTTGTGACCCCGACCATTCTCCGCTTGCTCCCCCTGTACCTACCTGCCCGATTGATATTGACCCGGCCTGCCTGACGACACTTGCATTGTATGTACTGTTATCTGTGGGTGGTTTGGTTTGGTTTGTTTGCACTGTGTTATGTTTTAGTATTGCACTGCGTTTATGTTTGTAGTGTTAATAAATTACATTGTTTATAACATATCTGAAGTCTGCGTTTCCCTGCGTCAGTCACACACCTCTGGTCACACCCGGGAGCCCAACACTCAGGGAGAGCATCACCCTCTGGATGATAAGGTGTGGTTCGGCTCTTGTCGATGTTAAGCAATGTTAACAGTTCTTTAATTAGGTGACTTTCAAAGTCCCATCCCTGGTCAGAGTGAAGTCGATTTGACAGTCCATAATGAACAAAAAACTTCTCCCACAACACTTTGGCTACAGTTACTGATTTTTGATCTTTGGTGGGATAGGCTTGAGCATATCAAGTGTAGTGATCAGTCACAATCAAAACATTTCCCACACCACTTCTGTCATTATCAATACACAATACACAAAAAGTTCATGCACACTAAATCCATTGGACCAGAACTTTTCAAGTGTTCCATAGGAGCAGCTCGAGTTTTCCATTGCAGACATCTCACACAGCAATAGTCCACAACCGTTTCCCTCATTCGTGGCCAAAAGAAACGGTCTTGGATTAATCCATATGTTTTTTCAACTCCAAGATGACCATGTTGGTCATGCAAACGTCTCAAAACAGATTTTCTTCTGTAGACTTGAGGAAGCACTAGGTGTCTCCTTCCAGGATGATCATGGAACAAATGTACCCTATACAAAAGTCCATCAATTATTTTGAGTTCATCACATTCCTTAAGATAGTAGGTATCTGGCTCAGGCAGGGTTTTTCTCATGTAATTAGGATCTTTGTGGAAAACAGACTCTCTAACATGTCTGATTACTGGATCCCTCTTTTGTAGAAGAATTATATCTTTCTTTTGCATCTGGATGTTTTCTGGTACTCCTAGAGCAGTGGGGCAGCAATATATGTTTGGGATACACTCTTCACCAGCTCCCAATGAGTCAATAACTCGTAAGTCAGAGAAAACAATATTGTCTCCTTGTACAGCAGCTGTAGGCAGCCACAGCAGGCCCAGGTACTTCCTCCCATTCACTTTCTTCTAAGTTCATTGTCAATGCAGGACGCCTGGAGAGAGCATCAGCCCCAATATTTTTGGGTCCTGGCGTGTACTTGAGAGTGAATTGGTAATTAGACAAGGCAGGAAGCCACCTATGACCAGTGGCATCCAGCTTGGCTGTAGTCAAAACTCAAGTGAGGGGGTTATTGTCAGTTCTCACCTCAAACTGAGCCCCATACAAGTAATCATGCAGGTTTTCAACAATAGCCCACTTCAAGGCAAGAAATTCCAGTTTGTGAACAGGATAATTCTTTTCTGCTGGGTTTAGACTGACTGATATAAGCAACAGGCCTTAGTCCTCCTGGGTACTCCTGACTACTCCTCCTGAGGACTCCTCCTAACCCATCATAGCTGGCATGCAGAACATATGGCTTTTGTGGGTCTACATAAGCCAACATTGGTGCTTCTGTAAGGCTTTTCTTAAACTGTAGAAAAGTTTCCACATAAGCAAAAGTCCACCTCTCACTAAAAGGAGTTTTGCATCAATGCCAGGTGCTACTTTAAGCAAGTGATTAAGAGGCCGAGCAGTCTTGGAATAATCTCTAACGAAGTGGCAATAATAGCCACAAAACCCCACGAAGGACCTCAGTTCTGTCAGATTTGTGGGATGGGGCCAGATTACCACAGCCACCACTTTAGCAGACTCAGTTGCTACCCCTTCTGCAAATACGATGTGGCCCACAAAGTTTACTGAAGAGCGGACAAACTTACTTATGTCCAGGGAGAGTTTCAGACATTCTGTCCTCAAACAATCAAGCACTTTAAACAGTCTCTGATCATGCTCCTCCAGGGTGGAGCCAAAAACAATTATGTCATCCAGGTAGACAATACATTGAGTGGTGGTCTCCCAGTGTCCGATCCATTAGACGCTGGAAGGTTGCAGGTGCACCACTAATTCCCTGAGGCATTTGAGCAAACTGGAAAAACCCCAGGGGGCAAATAAAGGCTGTCATTGGTACTTGATAATACACAGATCTTAAGTTCATTACTGTAAACCATTTGCTGCCTTGCAGAGCATCAAGAGCTTCCTCAATGCGAGGTAGCGTGTATTGATCTAGGACCGTTCACCGATTTAGAGTCCTGTAATCAACACATATTCGTACTCCACCATTTTTCTTTCTGACCACCACTATTGGGGATGCATACAGGCTTTTAGACTTAACAATGATGTTTTGATCTTTCATTTTGTGTAAGCACTCTCGAACATCATCCAAATCTTTAGGAGGTATGTGCCTGGGTCTTTCTCTAAAGGGGTGCTATCTGTTAGGCGATTAGTGTGTTGAATACTTTTAGCACACCCGACATCCATGTCATCAGTAGAGAAAACATAATTGTATTCCATTAGCTGCTCTTATAGTGCTTGTTTGTGCTCTGCAGGACTATCAGAATCATTCAGGTGAAAGTCTAATTTGTTTTTTTTTGCTCCTTGACCTTAGCAGGGTAAGAGCTAATGGTTTCTACTGGGTCACAATAGGCTACCTCCTGCCAGGCTGATATTATAACTGGGTATGCGGTAACATTCCAAACAGTAACAAAATCCATTCTTGGACATTTTAAACAATAGTTTTTCCTTTCTGGTACTATCTCCCAGCCATTCTTTGCAGCCTCTTTTGGATCAGTCTCGAGCAGGGAAAAGCTACCGTTTGCCAGCGGTGAAATTTACACATAAACCCACACAACACTCTCTCCCCCTGCTGGAAGCTATATGGGATGCCATGGATTCCCCACAAATCCTCCAGGAAGATCAGGAGCAAAGGTTTGGCAGATATTTTGACATTCTGGATCAACAGGCAGTGGAAGTAGAGGAGTACCCTGTTGTGGCTGAAGAAACCTTATGAAAGCAGACTCAATGGCTTCAACATTGGAACCCACAATCATAGGCGCATACTCATTACCCCTAGGTGGAGGGCTCACATAGGCAATGACACTAAGTGGGGGGTCCCCATCAGCTGTCACACACCAGGAATGCAAAGTTCAATGTCTAGACAACCATCCATAAAAACAGGATTTCCTAAACACACCATAAACAGGCATAGTGTCCATATGTTTCAAAGGGAGGTGGCTTAAGTGTTGCTGATAGAAGAGCCTGTAGATAATAGTCAGCTCAGAGCCAGTGTCAAACAGAGCAGTAGTAGGTATATCATTAACAAACAAATTAAAAGTACATCTGTGGCCTACTCCAGCCAGTTTAGTGAACA